TTAATTTTTTCAATTTTCCAAAATTTCTGTGTGTTAAAAAGTAAAATCAAGCTTCCTTAACATCTGAGGGAATGGAGAGCCCACACACCTGCTCACTCACAAGATGTCAGTGACGGTATCAGGCGGGAGCAGACCCAGTTGAGAGTAAACTGATGTAGCTTTTCCATAAAGATAGAGCCAACATTTCCAAAATGAAAGAGAAAGAAAGAAAGCCTAAGGAGCTTTCTGTCTCTACAGAAGAGAAAGAAACTTTCCTCCACCAACAGAGACCTAATTGTAGCACTTCAGGGCTCTGAGAGCAGGTAGCTGGTTGGAAGAGAGGGGCGGATCCCACTATCAGTTTTGGCCTCTCCAAACTCTCCTGAGTGACACCTCTTACTAAGACACCTTTAGAAGTTCCTTATCTGTCTAGTGGGAAGGCAGAACCCATTTTGAAAGAATAACACAGTTAATTTGAGGAAGAACTAGGAATGACGTCAGAAGAAGAAAAAAAGGTAAATGATTATCTTGTTCACTTGCATTGTGTTTTTAAAAGAAGGTACAAACAACTTCATTATTAATAAAATACTATTGACAGTAATGGATCATTAGAAAAGGACATCATGTTTGGCAGAGAGAAGATCAGTGAAAATGAGGGAGACCTTCTATGAGATGAATTGACAAGGTGCCTGCAATAATGGGCTCAAACAGATTCAGGATTGTGGGATGGCCAAGGACTAGGCAATATTTCGTTTTGTTACACATAAAGTTGCCATGAGCCGGAGGTGACTGACAGTAACTGAAACAACACATAACAACAACAATGGAAACTATTAATAACAATGGAATGTGTTTAATTTCAAACTTCTTAAAAAACGGTAATTGTGTCCTCAGTTATTCAATTATAGTCAATGGATTATAAAACCCATCCCAAACCAACCTAATCTGTGAGAAGCCTTCTCTAAGAGGCAGTCGTCACAGTTCTAAAGGCAGATGCTGAAGCTTCGATTGGTTAGAAAGGTGATCAGAATAACGGAATTTCAAAGTGGGAAAACAAATGAAGAGGCAGGAAAGGATGGATCTTCCTGTAACTAAGAACTCCAGGAGTACCAACAGGGTTTTCTGAAGAGCAAGGTCCTCCTTATCAGATCGAGCCTGCTGATTAGCTAGAGTCTTGGGGGGTGGGGGTGGGGCTGCGGGGAGGTATCCTTTGGTGGTTGTTTTGGTTAAATGCCATTCTTCCAATCCCTGCCATCCAAGGAGATCTTTGGTACAGCTAGCTATTTATCAGGTTTTGAAAGGAGATTATCATGGATTATTCAGATGACTTTGTGGTCACTTGAGTTCAGCATGTTGTATATGCTGGGCCTAAACAAACATCTGCATCTTTGTGGAGCATTTTGCTCTAATGTATGTCATTTATCCTAAATTTGGAAGTGTCACACACATCCTGGGCTATAGAAATAATGTTGTTAGAGATAAGACAAAGTTTCAAACATTGAAGCATAAGACCCTTGACCAAGAAAACTTGAAAAAAAAAAATGTTATCAAGTAAAACAACAAAGTTAAAGCATTTAATAGCAGTCATAATCCTTATCTTCTCTCAAAGTAACTAACCATGAATGGTCAACAGTTCACTATATGGCTCTACTTTACGTTGTTTTCATGCCAGAAAACATTTTTCTAAGTTGGAGAACTTAAAGGAAGGGGATTTAGTGGGGCAAGAAGCTGCTTTGTAGTTTCAGGAGAAAAAATAATTTGTATTTTTAGGGAAGGAATGTCTCTAGTAAGAAAGAGCCATATCAGACTTGGAGGAAGAGTCAGGGAAGAGGGGGCCCACAGGAGCTGAGGGGAAAGCTGGGGCTTGCAATCAGAAAGCTGCAGAGAAGTGGAGGAACCGAGCACATGGAAACGGTGTGCAAACTCTGCAGTCAGGACATCGTCTGTGAACTTGAAGGTTCTCAGTAGAGGAGTGCAGTGAAAGGCACGATACATTTGTCGAACAAGTAACTTTGAGTGCCTACGGTGTTGGCGTTGGTCTAGATGGCAGAACTTGGTAATGAATGACCAATTGCAAGGTTAAGGAGTTAACAGAGTTTGTTAGTAAAGCTGGGAGGAAAACAATGTATCATTCTGATAAAAAGGGCAAAGGGAAGACTTTTAATTTAGGTACAGAGAGAACTGAACATACTCATAGCCAACTGAGGGGTCACTGAAGATTCAACTGTAGGGACACAAAGGAGATATGAGACAACAGGCCTGTGGACTTTGGCAATGAGTAAAGATTCTGCCTGGAGTCAGAAGGAGGAGCAAGGGAGGGAGAAAGAGGCACTATCTGAAAGGACCTTCAGGTGGAAAGTGGGGGTGAGGACAAGTCTGTCAGACAGAGGGCCCTGGTCTTTTCTGCCAGTTTCTACATCTCTTAGTGAGGAAGCAATACTTATCCCAGAGAATTTTTATGGGAATTAAAAGAAGTATGTAGTTGTTCCCTCAGCAGAGAGCCTTTTACCTGGGAGCCCTCACTAATGTAGCTTTTATTATACTTAATACAGAAAAGTGAGGAGAGTATGGATGGGAATGGCGCCTGAAGTAAGTGAAGTTTGGAGGAGACAATTCAGAATTGGCTGGGGTGGGGTGGAGGAGAGCAGGATAAAGGTTAATGAATTCTATGCTCTCACAAAAAAAGGAAGGGGGGTGTCAAAGGAGGAAACATTCTAGGGGTACCAACTCTACCTATTCGTTGCCTTCATTGGCTATCCCCAGGCCATGGGCTGAGAGGCAGGATTATTGAATATCTCCCCGCCCCCAATTTCTCCTCAGAGATTGAAACTACAAGAACATAATTGGCGCTAATAAATAAGTAAATATCCCTGGGAAGGGGCATGGGGAAAGGCTATCAGTATTTCATACTTTTGCCAACTTTAGGTTTTATAAAAGGTGGCCAAGGTGCTAAGGATGTGAGAACTCTGTTAAGTATGACTTGTGGAGACAGGCAAAGCACCCATGGGCCAGGACAGAGCTCTGTCACTCAACATTGAGGGTGGGTTACTGCTCTAAGGACCCACATGCCAGGGAGACAGAATAAAGGACACAAAGGCAGCTGGGAAGGCAGTGACAAAAGGGACGGAGGAAAGGCCCTATAGAGAGCAAAAAGGTGGGTGCTGAAACAGAAGAGAGCAGGGTGGGATGCACAGGAAAGCGCGAGTCGTTTAGGTCACCTGTGAGGCAGGTTAGCAAGAAGTTTGCCATTAAAGTTTTCTGCATTTCTTCAGCGTCTCTTTTTGGGGTTCATTTCCCTCCTTGCTGAATCTAGCAGGGCATCTTTTTGTATTTACCTTCCAGCTGCAGTTGACTCATGGCAGCCACATACGTGTCAGAGTAGAACTGCACTCCAAAGGGTCTTCGATGGCTGGTGTTTTGGAAATAGGTGGGCAGGTCTTTCTTCTGAGGCACCTCTGTGTAGATGCGAACCACCACCCCTTCCCTTTGGTTCGTAGCCAAGTGTGTTAACCTTCTACATCGCTCAGGGACTTCATCTTTGTTATTTAGACTCAGAAATGATCAATTCTTGCAAAGTAAAACAAAGCTGGAAGATGGTTCAAACATTACCATCCATTACCCAATTTAACCTCATTTTACAGATGAGGAAACTGATGTTCACAGGGTCAAGGTCACAGAGAAAACCAGCAATTAGACGGAATTAGAAGAACCCTGGGCTCCTGCCCTGTGCCTGGCAGTACAGAACCATGTGCTTGATAAAACCTAAAAGCACACTGAATTTCCTGCCCATCCAGTGAAGACAAAGCATTACTCTTCCTTTGTGGAAGTTAATGATTAAAACTCAGTTTGATCTAAAGCATCTTAACCATAGTTACTAATTAAGCCAATCTCAGTGAGAAAAGAAAGACATTTCAAACAAAAGACTGCCCTGTTCTCTTAAGCTCCATCTATATACCTTTACATTGTAGTAATAGAAACTGCACAATTACAATATTTCAAGTACACTTAAAAATATTTCATAATACAATTCTTTAACAACTGTAGCTTTACATTTTCTTTTCATTGCATGCCACATGGTGGGCCTTGAATAAACGCTTTTGTAACTATTGTGGGGAGGGATTTAACTAAAATAACTTCACTTAGTGTTTGAGTGAATGAGGTAATAAAATCTGTTTGCTGTGTTCGCTGTCTCCAGATAGGGCTGTAATTACACCACATAAGGAAGAAAGGTAGCTGAGTCTCAATCTAGATCGTTTATGTAAACTCAGCTTTCTTGTCAACGCTGTTCTCAGATTGCATGCATGCAAACCACAAAAATCATCTCCTATGAACCACACAGAGACAGTGTCCGATTGCAGGGCTGTGCGATGGCTTATACTCTTTCTGTAATTGGATGTCTGTGGTTCAGGACCAAAAGTTGACATTCTGAGGTTAAAAGAAAAATCTCACCAACGAATTCTCCGGTTCAACAACGATATGACTGACACTTGTAAAACTTAAAGGTATTCTCTAAACCAAAGTATTAACGAGCTAAGACATTTCATTGGAAAAGTGCAACTTGTTCAATTGGGGAAAAGAAAAAGTTATGTGCTTTGCAATGGTGTTTGAAAAATATTTGGTCTTCAAGAAAGAAAAACAGGCAATTCCTAATATAGCTAAGTTAACATTTGATAACATTTTAATCTCCTACTTAAAATATTTGGCATTTTTCCCCAGCAATTTTGCAAAGACAAAAATCTTACAAAAACCATCCAGCGCACTGGATTTATAAATAGCACAGAGACATAATTGCAAGAAGACAAAGCTTATTTCTTAATCCGTTGAACATCCTTCGTTATGACAGACTGGTCACTCGTTTTTGATTTGACAGTCCTCTCTGGCTGGCACTGACAGCGTTTCTCTAGTTTTTCTCGACACCTGCAGCTCCCAGCTTGCTCTGTCCTCTCTAGAAGGGAAACCACAGGCCACCGCCCTGGCGCCATCCTTGCTAGGTCCAATCAATAAGGACTTATTTCCTGTCCATTTGCTGAGGTCACAGGAGCAAATCTCATTAATTATTTCTGCTACTGCAGCCTCAAGTGTGCTTCTGGCATGACAAGTGAAAACTGCTTGACCTTTTTTTCTTCTAATTTTGTTTGTAGCAGTTCCAAAAAGAAGGCAGTATTCATTTAGGAAGGGGAAAAAAAAACGTACATACCGTTAAAATCTTTAACATATTGAGCTTTTTCATCCTGAAAGCTCTCCTGATCACCTCATTCCCTAGTTTTTTTTTCCAGCAAACGAACAATAGTGTCTTTTTAATTTGGTGTCATGAAAATCTGGTCACAGCAAACACAATGTTTTCTAAAGCAGATCTGGCCTCAGAGGGAGGAAAGCTCTCCAGGGCCACCAGAGCTTTGTTTCCATGGTAACGACACAGGTCAATAGCTGAAGTCACACCTTTGCCAGCTTTGATTGTTTCTCGCAACTGTTAAGAAACAAATTCACAATAAAAGTCAGTTGTTAAGGTATGCAGTAAACACCACAAGTAAATCGGGAAGGGAAGGTGGGAAAACAAAGAAAGAAGGAAACACTATAGATTCATTGCTTCTGCTGCGTTATTTTGAGGTAATGAGGACATCATTCCCAAAAGATCTTGAGGCACTAGCATCCCCTAAGGCTGCTGGATTTCTGCTCCGGAGCAGCACAGTAGGCTCCGATCAGCCTAATTACACCTCCTCCCTGACTCCCACCCCTTGGTGTCTTGAAGTGTGCCACACTGGGGGATGCGCTAAGGAAGGCGACGGGCATCTGCATCTCTGGCGTTTGGAATTCAGCAGCCTGATTTTTTATGTGAGGAAGGCTGCACTGACATCCTAGCTAATCACTTTGAAAAACAAAACCATATGTTGACACAATAGTTCGTAAGAAAATTTAAGAAAGATCCATATTAGATCTGAAGGCTCATTTTAAAAACTAAAAGACTTTGTTTTACTAGAGAGAATGAAATAAAACACACTTTTAAAGAATAAAGTAAACTCACCAACAGAGATGACTTCCAATCCTGCTCTTAGGATGGGAAATGACTAGTAAAATGGTTACATTTTTGAGTTGAGTGTATCAGAGCTTACAACTCTAAAGCACTTGGGTTTGTGGAAGGCTGTGGTCTGGAGTGGGAGCCCTAACTTCATGTTGAATCTTGACATAAGTTCAGATGCCACTTGAGTTCTCTGTGACCTTCAACATTGTGGCTGTGCATAGACAAGTTCAGTGCCTAAGGCACTTGACTGCTAACCAGAAGGTTGGCGGTTCAAACTCACCAGCTACTCCTCGGAAGGAAGGCTGGGCAATCTACTTCCGTAGTGATACTGCCTGGGCAACCCAAGGAGGGGTCGCTATGAGTCAGGTCAACTCAACGGCACATAACAACAACATAGACAAGTTCCAGGACAAACCTGGGATAGGGCAGTTTGCAGTCAGGAAGAGTGTGGCTGAAAGTAGATTATGCTCACACAAAGCAGTCGGGAACTTGTCTGAAAGTGTCCTTTTCTAAATTTAAATTAAGGCTGGGGTCCTGGTATTGTTTTGTAGCCACCTTGTGGTTATGACTCAGGTTGCATGGTTGTGAAAGACCCAAAGCACCACCGAGCCAGGTGGTCAAGGCCCAGAACTAATCCTCGAACCCTCTTCCATCTTCACATATGTTTGTACTCAATCATGGTTCTCTTCCCTATTTCATAGTTCTGTCTCCAACAGTGATGAATCGATCTGCCACCAATCATGATTTCGTGATGATTCCCTTTCTTTTCTATCATATACTTAGCCCCACGGCCATGACTCAGTGGATTCCATTCAACTTTCTGTACTGTGTACATACTGATGTACACATCATCCTGGATGATTGGTTTTGTCCTGTCTAAAGGCTTAATAAAAGTGTCTCTACTGAACCTGTTTGAATTTGGGGTCTTTTTCCCCTATTAAAAAAGTTATAATGATTTGGTCTGGATTCCCTTACCCCTATTTTGTCTTCTAATTCTCAGTGAATGCTTCAAATGTCTGCCTAACTCCCTAAGAAAAACCTAGGAGTTCTCCTTTATCCCCCATATCTAGTCAGGCATCATGGTAGTAGGAGTGTTTCCTGCCCACTCTAAACTGACCTTTCTGGCCCTCAATGTCTGTGTGGGGTACCACGTGACAAATTACTGTTCATGAGATGGGAATGACACATGTCACTTCTGGGCTGCAGCATTTAACTGCCTATGTGAAACCCTCCAGAGCTTTCCTCCTGGCATGTCAACTAGCCACGATGGAGAAGCTTCTCAGCTTGGTTCCCTGAGTGGCCACAAATGAGTGCCTATCTGATCTGCAATGGATATGTAGTGGGGACAATCAATCAATCAATCAATATTTGTTGTTTTATGCCTTTCAGACTGTAGGGTTGTCCTTAATCACCTTGACTGGACAGTCCCTGAATTGTAGCCATTCTATTTCCTTTACAACTCTCAAATTTACCCTCTACTCGCATCCCCATTGCTACTACATTAGTCGATGGTATCCTCTTCCCTCTTCTGGATTAGTGTTTGCATCACTTCCTAAAGAGTCTTCCCATCACCAGTTCAGTGCCTCTGGATGCCCTCCCCCATGCTGCCAGGGAGATCTTTATAAAAAAGATACAAATATTATCTTGCTCCAAAACCTGCACTGCCTTCCAAAAGCTTTAAGAAAAAAGTCCAAGCTCCTTCAGGAGGCACAGAAGTCCCTTCCCCATCTAGCTCTTGTCAAGTCATGTTTTTCTCCCTTTCTTTCTTTCATCATGTATTTAGGGAAACTACTTGCAGTTCTAGGAGCTCTAGTAGCATAGTGCCTAAGGCACTTGACTGCTAACCAGAAGGCCGGTGGTTCAAACCCACCAGCCACTCCTCAGAAGGAAGGTTGGGCAATCTACTTCCGTAGTGATAGTGCCTTGGCAATCCAAGGAGGGGTCGCTATGAGTTGGGGCCGACTCGACGGCAAACAACAACAACAACAACATGACTCTTAGCACTTCCAGGTATTTCACAGTGCATACCAGCTTTGGGGTTCATTTCAGCCTAGGGTTCTCTGGTCTCTTGCCAAACAATGAATGTGCGAAGGCACTAAAATAGTGATGGGTATCAGAGGCAGCCAGATTCAAACTCCCATTCTACCATTATAATCCCATTCTACTTCTAGGGAAGCCATTTAACTGCTCTTAGTTCTAAATGGGGATAATATCCGTCCCTTGAAGGACTGTCAGGGAGGACTAAATGAGACAGCATAGAGTGTTTGACAGTGTTTAAAGCACTACAGATGCTAGACAACTTAGTTCTCCCTCCTCAAGCCTTTAGCCATCGCCAAGAAAACTACTCCATCCACCAAAACAAAATCTATTTTGGCTTGACACACAACAGCCTTGAAGGTAGCTGGACCTGGATTAGATCAGTCTTAAATAATCTTGAAGATTAAAGAGAGAGAAGGAGGAAGAGAAAACACATTTCCATGTTTTCATTCTCTTTAATCTCCCCAAATATAAAATAGACAGGCTAATATCCTCTCATTCTAGATTTCTAGGTTGGAACATGCAGGTGTATAGGCATCTGCATGATTGGATCAGATGTTCACTGTACAAGTATGAATCAAGTACCTACTACATGTGAAGACTAGAATGATCCTTCTTTGCTTTATGGGTCAGGAGCTAATTAAGAGTATACTGTGAAAAGATGCATAACCAAGGTACAAATATGGATGCTCAAAAGAGTGAGAGACCAACTTTAATTGGAAGAGATTCAAGAAGGCTTCACAAAGCAAGTGGGATCTGAGGCATGTCTTGAGAATAGTGGTAACTAGATATAGAAAAGGAACTCTGGTAGCATAGTGCCTAAGGCCACTTGACTGCTAACCAGAAGGCTGGTGGTTCAAACCCACCAGCCACTCCTCGGAAGGAAGGTTGGGCATTCCTACTTCCGTAATGATACTGCCTTGGAAACCCAAGGAAGGGTCGCTATGAGTCAGGGCTGACTTGTTGGCAAATAACAACAACAACAACAAGATATAGAAATGGCAGTAGCAAGGGGATTCTAAAGAAGAGAACAGTTTGAGCAAAGGCACAGAGGTGACCAAAGAGTGCAGAGTATTCCAGGGAATGAAAAGGGATTTGTGTGACACAGCTTGCAGGGGACCCAGAAAGGCTGTAAAAACAAGACTAAGAAAGTTGAACTGTTCCTTTTTCTTAAATTTTTTTATTATAAAATATCTTAAAAGTACAGAAAAGTTAAAAGACTAGCAAATGAGCATGGAAACATTAGCTGAGTGAGTTAAGTCTGACACAAAAGAACAAATATTGTGTGATCTCACTTATAGGAAGTATCTAGAATAGGCAAATGTATAGAGACAAAAGATTATTATTAGTGATTACTGAGGTCTGGGAAAATAGAGGATGGGCCTTACTGCCTAAGGGGTACTAAGTTTCTGTTTGAGCTGATGAAAAACTTTGGAAATGGATAGTAGTGATAGTTGTACAACATGGCAAATGTAACTAATGTCCATTTAATTGTACACTTAAAGTGGCAATTTATATATATATATATATATATATAAACCAAACGCATTGCCATTGAGTCGAAACTGACTTATAGTGATCCCTTGGGTTTCCAAGGCGGTATGGAACTTTATAAATAAAGTTTTATTGGAACACAACCACACTCATTTGTTTAAGTATTGACTTTGGTTGCTTTTGTGCTGGAACAATAGAGCTGAACATTTGCCACACAGAGTATAGCCTGCAAAGCCTCATATAGTTACTCTTGGCCTTTACAGAAAAAGTTGCAGACTCCTGGACTAGCATAATAAGTGCTCTTAATCCTCTTACCTCAATTCAACAACTGTTAATATTTTGCTATTTTTTGTTCTGTGTATAGGGCTTTTGCTTGTTTTTTGTTTTCTGAACTATTTGAAAGAAAGCTGCAGGCAGTAATACGCTGTAAATTGGCTATCTAGGGGGGAAAAAGTGCCCTTGTTGTAGCACTTGCAGACATCTGGGGTGTAAATATTCCCATCACGGCCTATTTCAAGCTACTGATGGTTGTGGGGTCACAATTTTCCAGAATACTTCATGAAGTAGGCTGTGGGCTGGTAGGACCCGGCATACAACTGGCTGCTGGATACTTCACCCTGTCTTGGCACGCCTCTCCTCGGATGACAACATGTTCCTACATAACAACAATACTACTACCACAGCTAGGAAAGTTAACAGTACTTCTCCAATATCTTTCTAATCTCTAGTCTATGTGCAAGTTTCCCCAATTGGTCCCCCCATTTTTTTTTAGCTATCTTTTTTCAAAGTACAATCAACCCTTACTCTCTCATTGCATTTGTTTGTTATAATGCGTTATTCTTCTTTCAAAATCTTTGTCATTTTGAAAAGACCAGGCTAGCTGTGCTGTAGATCTTTTACATTCTGCATTTCTCTGG